AAAATCACTTCTCCAACTTTAACATTCCAAGCAAGTTAACTCTAGTGATCAAACACTAATTGAAACTTTTGTTCATGATAATAATGACTCTATTTAGTTCTTTGATGGAAAATTATAGTTTATTTTAAGGAAAAAGAATCCTTAAAATGACTAACCCATCAAAACATGTAGTCTAGTTTGCATGATTTTATGAATATAAAAAAAATGTCACGGCTTTAACTTTGAAGTGATTCAAGTTAGTCGTAACTTCTCTGTTTAACAGTTGAACCACCACTTTGTGATGTTATAATGTTGATGTCATTAAGCTCGGTAATCATACTGATTTGAAGGTTTTGCATGCTTCTTGGCATACACCTTGACACGATTTAACAAAATGTGCGTAGTGAACGGTGATGAACTCCTTTAATTTTTTTATAAAGGGAATCCAATTTGTATTTCTAATAACAAGATATTGACTTCATGTTACATGCTGACTAATAAGCTTTACTGATATAATATTTGTTGCATAGCCTACTCAAATAAACACATCCAGCTTGAGTAAAAATTAAAATAACCTACTGTGCAATTTGTGAACTACTGAAGTCCTGTTTATGAAGCCAACGATTCAGAGAGAGAATCTGCTTGCTGGTGAGATTTTTGAAGACAGCAAGGATTATAAAACGTCAGGATATTTATCAATCAACTATATAAATAAAAAACTCAGATGCATGTACTGTTTTGCTTTTTATCATCTCCTATTCACCGTTTGAGCACTGATTAATGACTTAAATAGACAAGAAAGACTCGGCTTAGTTGAACTTAACAAAAATAAAAAGACAAGGTAGCTAAAGGTCTTGAATGCAAAAGAATCCGATGAATGTTTCAAACAACGGATTTTATGCGTACAAGACATCGACAAAAATGATATAAATTAAGTACTCTTGTAGTAAACAAGAACACGGGTGGGGACAATCGAATGTATTTGACACAAAATTACAGGACTTGTTAATAAGATCTAACAATCGTGAAGTAAACACGTAATTTGCAAAATGTCCATCGATTGTCTCATCATGACTCAGACTTCATTGTTCTTGCATTTTCATGCAAACTGCATTTTGTTTCCATTCTTTACTGTTTGATCCTCTTGTCTCTCTGCTGCTGGACCTTCTGTTCACGACTAACATCATATACTATTTATGTCAATATAAGTAGCACACACCACATTCCGAAGTTTGCAATTTCAAATATTTAATGAGTTTACTTTCTCTACCTATCAGGTAAACTATTGATATAGTAAGCGACTAGGTCATGACAATGAGATATGTTTAACTTCTCTATGCAAATATTTGATTACTACCGTGTTACACAGACCTATCAATTCACATTTACACAACTAACGTTTTTATTTTGTTCTCGTTTCCTTTCTCTATTATGACTAATATTTTTTCAATTTAATATTTTGATAATCATTATTTTCTATTAAATGATTGACATTATGATAATTTTCATTGTTTATCTAATTACATGTTTGCAACTAATTAATTTCATTCGTTGTATCCAAATAAATTAATAAAGATTTTTCATTGAAAATCGAATCATTTTAAATTTTTTTCTTTCTCCTTACTTTTCTTCTTTTTTCTTTGCTAAATAAATTTCACAATTTTAATTTATTAAACATTTTTTATTAATTACTCATTCTGTTAAGAAAAAGTATTTTTCAGTGCAAATGTATTAATGTATCTATGTAGGTAAATATGTTTATAGGTTACATGAACAAATAAATGATTGGTAATATGAATTTTAAACAAATAACAATATAAATGAATAATCACTAATAATAATCATTTTCATTTAATATTACAAATACAAAATAGGATGTTTTATTTGTTATGATTTGTAAAATTATGAATTAGTAGTATAGAAAAATGGAAGTAATGAGTATGGTATTAAAAAGAAAAAAAACAATTCATAGGAATTTATACGAATATTCGTCAAGATTAAAACAAATAGTTTGACAGGAATTGGGCGCCGAGTATAGAGAAGTCGTTATATGCGAAAATTATATTTGAAATAATCTCAACGATTGAAATTTAAAACAATTCCAACGTTACGTCCAGACAAGTTAGCTGGATTTTAGTTTCAATCGCTGAGATTACTTCAAATATAGTTTTCAGACATAATGAATTCATGGGAATGTTTATATAATTTTTTTTAAAGAATTTTTATGTGCATAGAGGATAAAGAAATTTTAAAAAAAAGAAGTTGATCATTCATATAGTTTATGAATGTGTTAAAATATTGAGTTGATGTTAATCATAATCCTAATTAAATGATTTCTAATTAAGAAATTTTAATGATTTCCCCAACTACCTTCCCTCCTTCTCCACATTAACGTCACCAACTGTCGGGTAGCAACAATAGACATTACTGTCTAGGTTTCTTTGAAAGTTATGTTTTTTCACATTATTATTAAAATTACTTAAATGTTTTTACATATTATTCATATACTTTATGAATGATCCATTTCTTTTTTATTTCTTTACCATATACGCATATAAAAATTCTCAAGAAATTATATATGCATTTTCATGAATTTGTAATATTTATTAACACCATTTTACAAGTCACAACGAATAAACATTCCTATTTGTATTTATAACGCCAGATGAGAAATAATCGGAATACTTGATTCATTTATTCTTATAAAAATTCATTATGATTAAAATATTTAGTTGATAATATGACTAAACCACTAGAAAGTTGACTCAAAATAAGTCAATTTATTTATCCCTTTCGACATATGTTTTGGCCTATTTTTCATGTGTTTACTTTTAAACGTTACTAAAGGCTAATAATTTGCCTTTGCTTGTGATTGGATACAAGGAAGTTATATCTCTAGTAAGTTCTGATAATGGTTCTCATAGTAAACATAAATACATCATTGTAGACATTATATTTATTATATCTACACGTTCAGTAAACAACTCCGTTCCTACATTCATAACCGTGCATTACATTTGTGTAATCATCAATAAGTGCTTTATTAACTAACAACAATAAAGCAAATAAATATATGTTATGTGATTACTTTGAAAATAGCATTGGCTCTAATAATAATAATAGTGAAAATAATAATAATATGGAATTTAATCATTTGTTCACATCCAAACATTACTGTATTGAATTGTTTGTTTCAAACTTTATTTGAGGATGTAACAATGATTTTATCATTTTTTATTTAAGATGAAACAGTGTAGGCAAATGTTTCAGTGTGAAAAAGCCAATTCGTAATTACTTATCGTTAAGCTATTCTATTATTCATAAGCTCGTTATCAAGTGAAATAATCCTAACAGTATTACAAGAAAACATGGTAGAATTCATTTGCCATTGTGGATTAATTTTCTCTTACATGATCAACTTATTCAACATAATATTTAGTATCATTTATGTTGTATCAAGTTTTACATTTTATTCAGTGAAAAATTTGTATGTAGAAGATTTCTTCTCAATATACTGAAGATTTCAAAACACTTGTGAAAATTCGACGAAATCTGTTAATGCTTTAAGTTATTAGATTCATTATATGCACTAACTAGTTGGATATTCTGTTGTGTCATTCAGAAATTTTTTTCGCAAGAAAAGCCGATTATCCACAATCGCTCGTCTGTCTTAAAGGTTATAAAATCAGTTCACTGATGAAAGTTTTACCAAGAAGAAAGGATGTGGAATATATTTGAACATCTAATACTGTATTTAAGTTAGTGTTTTTATTTAAGAATGATATTTGTTTTACCTACTGTCAATTGCTCACACAAGATTTATGTCGAATTCTGGGAACAAAAAAGAATATAGCTACTGGTTTTCCTATATCATATAATCCATCTTTTACAAATAATTAGTGTTTCCCTGTATATTGTTGAATAAATTTATAAAATGGGTTTCGAAGACTCGTTATTACAGAAACAAGCGTTTTTCATCAATGTGTAATCTCTATTATTAAAGTTTTGTTCCATTCTGTGCATATCTATTTCACAAGTGACATCAAAAAATGCTTAAAAAAGCTATATTGAAAAAAGTGCCTGTGTGATGTCATAAGTGATCTCAAATGAAAACATTAACACTCTTAGAAGAGTATTATGAAAATCAATTATATGTATAAGTCCTTAAATGACAACAGCAAAGGTTAAATACATAACAATTTGCAATGAAGCTGTTAATTTTATAAGGATATTCCTCAGTAAAACATAAACCTTACAATATAATTGAGTAATATGTTGTTGAGCATCTTAATCTAATCTGTTCCCAAGATCGTGCCATTTAATTACGTTATATTAATAGTCGTTGAATAGTTAACGTTTAAAGATACCGAGTTTTCTGATAAACATACTCAGTATGCAGTAAACCTAGATATCAGTGGTAAATACTTACATAAGAATTTAATGAAAGTCACGAAAAGGATTTAAACGTTAATTCAAATATTGAATTCGGTATGTGCTTATGGATATACTTGTCCAATAATTTATGTGCTTTGAGAATTAACGTAATTTACGTGAACGCTTTGGATGGTTTGACCATGATAGCCAATAACATTACTTTTTTCTGTTCCAAGCAATTTTATTATGTAATAAATGTACTTTAAATTTATCAGCTTAAAATTAAAAACCATTGCATTATTGGTATAGATTTTCGGCTCACATTCATAACGTTGCGGATTAAAATCCCATTCCGTTTATCTAAGTTTAAGACGTCATTTGCTATCACCATTGCCCATCTAAACTGAGGCTCAAAAAAGTGCAAATTTTCGTATCTTAAAATTGCCATTACGATTGAACTTAATTAAAAACAAATAACAAATTTACACTGCTTTAACCAGGCGACTGCGTAACATGCAGTCTGACGTTTGATTTCAGGCATATTATATTCCTTGATCAGTAAAATAATCAGATTCATGTTTTCATATTAAAATTAAGTATTTAGACTGAGACGTTTTGAGAATATTGTATGTGTATAACTCACTTACTTTTCAGCCTCTTTTACACAGGATTCCAATTCAGCTATTCTGCGAACCATTATTTCTTCTGTCAATTTATTACCATTTTTATTATTGATCACTTGTTCCCATTGTCTTGTTGCTCGTTCACAGTTCCGCTTAAATTCGTCTAATCTATTTAAGGTAGGTGTATTTGATGTGTGAATTACCCTAACATCTTGTGGTATACGTCGTATTTTAATAGGAACACTGATTTGTGGTCTTGATATACTTTCATAATTATTTGTTTGAGGCACATTACTTTCTGGTGCTAATTTAGTAACCGTAGATAAAACTTTATGTGATGTCAAATTACTGTGACCATTGATATTTTCATCCGATTTTTTAGGTAAATTTTCTACATGATGATGATATTGATATGAACTGCAAGAAGATGAATAACTTGGGTATTTATTTGTTACACGTGTCTTAACATAATCAGAAAAGTCCGGTGGTGATGTCGGATAACCAGTTGATGAAACAGTATCAAAGTAAGATTTGACAGACTTCTCTTTAACTTCTTCAGTTTCTGTAATGGATGATCGTATGATCTTTTTCAGTGGAGGAACATTTGTTTTGGATTTTGTATCACTTGTTGGTGTGTTGTCTGACATTGAAACAAGGAAGAATAGAATACATAGAAAATAAGTAAAAACTATTATCAAGTTATATTACCTTATCTAAAAGTTTAAATATGAGGAAAGGATTAGCGATATTCTTGCATACGTTTCACATATCTCATTTTAAAATTATTGTTCGATTTTTATCAGTTATTTATCATTTAAATATATATAATACCCACAAATATTACTTAAAGCTTTTCAAGAATTGTCATCCGACTATAAAAACCAATAACAGTGGATTTCTAATTGTAAATTTTGATTTGAGCTTACAAATTCATTTATAATATTAACTGCAGACCGTCATAATGAATTCAAATCGGGTCTTTTTTGTCATCAATTTATATCAACGCTAATACACTAACCTTAAAGTATTTAAATTTAAGATGTGTGTAAAATGAACCCAGTCAATAGTTATGATGAAATTAATGAAGTTAAGACGCTTGTTATTCTCTACTATTTATATGTATTTATCGTAGATTTATTTCTGAAATATGCAAATTGATATAATCAGTTATTTGTAGATATTCTTAAGGAAATGAAAGCCGTTTTTAAGTTTTAATTAACACCATTCGATAAGTAACAACATTTACATTGTTGTTATTGTATAGAAACGCAGTTGAGTAATATGTCCTTATCTCAGTTATATATTTAAAAGCAATTTCGTCTGTCAATGTTATGTATCAAGATTCAAGTTTTTTCTGTGGTTTAATTATTACAGTTTTCACATGAAAGGATCTAAGACAATCAACTACATAAGTGTAGTATGATAGAACTACCAACTCTATAAATCAAGTCAATATTTACATATGTACATCAATCTTTCACATAATTTACGAGTCTGATTTTTTTAAATTTAAGCATGATTTTTGACAAGTTTACTAAACTACATTAAAAAATCTAGTTTCATTATTAAATGATATACAATACAAATACTAACATGCACAATATCTGTCATATTATAAATACGCATAAAACTCTCTACATTACTTTTTCTAGTCTCCACAATAATATTGTCAAAATATATGTAACATTTAACTTGTTATTCTATAAATCAAAGAATCATTCCAATAGTAAAAGATTTTATATTTAACAATATTGCTGAATTATATAAATATAGAACATAAAACGTTACATAGAGTTTCTTTTCTTATGAGGTTTATTATTGCCAGAAAATCACTATTGTGAAATTCTATCGAATATATTATGATTAAAGAATGAAAACCGATAAATTAGTACTTTTCATCAAAATATATGTTTACTACAAGAAACGAAATAATAATTTTGAATAGAGTAATTTATAAGTAAATTTAACGCTCATCTACTTATGAATTCCATATCTATGGAACTCAATATGTTTATATTAGTCTATTTTTATTGTTATTTATACAAAAATGAAGGTTTATTTGGAAACAATCATGATGGTAGAGATTCAGTAACTCATGTTATATATATTTATGATTACAAATGAAGGATGTTACCAATTATTTAATTCATCAACATACCACGATACTAAGAAGTACAAAATTTGGTAAAGTATCGAAACTTCCAATATATAGTCTTTAACTTGATATAATATTGAATCATGTATAGTAATAAAAAGATTGAACAAACTATGTATAAGTTAGTAATCTTGTCAGTAAAAAACCAAAAACAGAAACCATTGGAGTGAAATAAAAATCAAGAACTAAGTTTCTCCATGAGTATTCTAAGTTATTTAAAACATAAACAGAATTGTAGATCATAGTTACGTTATAAACTGAAATTCAGAATGATAATACGAAACAGTACGTAGCATTATAGAATTTCATTTTCCTAGCACAGGACTCATTACTAGATTATTCTACCTGACTCAGAATCTGCGAGTCGCTCTGATACTGATTAATCCTTGGACTACCGAGTTGAAATTTCTAGGTTTACATCTACAAACTCAACTACTTGACTCAAACCTGTAAACTATACAATGGTTCACATCATTAATTATATAGTTTTATACGTTCATAAGTGTTGTTATAAATTAAACCGTTACTCAACTATTTTGTGTGATACATTTTACTCCTTATCGAATATATATGGCAATATACCTATTTACAGAAAAAAAATAACTATCGGATAATTATTTATCTATCTGAAGATCTCTATTGATTTTTAGGATAATTAAAATCTGATGCATAAACACTTTCTTAAAATTAGAACGACCTTTAGTTCAACCGATTCAACATGGAATTTTACTTCACAGATAAAATCATCAAAAATATTTGATTTTAGAAATGTTTTATTTTTTGGACATCGATTCAACTAGAAAGATCATGGATCTGACATATAAGATATTATACTATAAGCTATAACCATTAACAACCCGTTTTTGTCAACATTTATATTGTTAATTAACTTCTTTAATGAATTCATTTAGAAGTTATACCATAATACCTTTATTTCATCATATTTGTGTAATGTGAAGTTATACCGTTTACGTTTATTTGTTTTCTGTCAATATTATTTAAATAAACCTGTCAGTAATATCTGATTATGAACTTATTAGATGTGGATAAGAGCTTTCTTTGTAATAAACCGAAGTGCTCTCTGTAATCTCCCTATAAAAGCTACTGGGAATTTCTGTCGTTATCCATTTTGGCAGCTCATTAAATTTCCAATTGATTTGCTACTGAGTAGTGATTGATATAATGTTAGTCAAGTCATGATTAGTAGTGGCTAAGTTCTGTCGATCAGTTATAAATGTGACTAACACACTAAGTAACTCGAAATTGCGTGCACCATGTTGCGATGGTCGTTAGGAAACACAGAATATCCTATTTCGAGTCAATTAAACTAAAGTCTATGTTGTAAGTTGATCGACTGTATCTGATCAGCATTTAGAAGTAATTGGTGAGCATGCTATTTGTTATTGGTTGATATTCAATCATTTTTAAATGCATTTCATTGCTACAGGAGGTCAGTGGAGTCCCAAATAACTCAGTAGTAACATCTCTGAATGTAAAACTGAATAGCTCAGATTCAAACTCATGGAAGAACATTTACCTCTAATTTTGCAGGTGCACTCTGCTCAAGAATGTCAAAAAGCATAAAACCTACGGCAAGAAGTCCCTCTTGACTACGTCAAACTATGTAATATCACCCGAGTTCTTACTATCACTTAATTATGAACGGTTGGTAGCAAACTTTACCTCGTGACGGTGACCATACAGTCAAGTTTGCTTCGAAAAACAATTGGCGATTATTAGGAACAGTACTCATGAACTAATCTTAAGAAGAAATTTATGAACGTATTTATAAAATGTCTTTCTAATTGATATTATTTACCATAATAGTTTATCTCTAAGGAAACTTATAAATTGTGAGATTAATACAACCTCTGTCATTTGTATATTATCATTCACTACAGTTAATATCCCCTGGTACTACATGAATTCATCTACTAAAAAGTTATTGCTGTTATGAAAGAAATCTTAATTCACCTATGAAGTAAGTATATTGTAATTACGATTGTTTCATTCGGTAGCATATACTTCATCACAGTAAAAAAATTCTAAACACATTAAACGTAATATCTCTACGAATTCCATCTTAAATTTAGTATTGAGCATCTGAATAAATGTTTCTTTCATTAAATCTTTTGTACCATTCATCCTTAATCCTAAAAGTATTCATAAGCTATGCATCGAACTAGTACTACTCAACTTACGATTTCATATATATGTATCAAAATACAGAAAAGAATGAAAATTTAATAGTCACCATAGTATCCTAATGTAAATTTTAGATTTACATATGTAACTACTCCATTAAAATAAATCTCAAGTAAACAAACGTATCACAATGTTTTTATAGCTGAAAAACATAGATGACTCAGATTTTTGAGTTGTCAATATTATAAAAGTCGAGCAACAATAATATAGTGTTTCACCTAATATATATATATATAAACGTTGTTAATAATAATAATAATAAGGTAACAAGATATGACTGACACGTTTAATAAGTCAAAAAAATGTATGAAATTCTTTGAAAACCAAAGGCAAATTACTGAAATCATAAATTTTTAAAACCAAGATGAATTATTATTCATTGTAATCATTTTATTTGATATAGAATGCTTAATTTCGATAAAAAAATCTACCAACAGATGATATGTTATCTTTGAAACTGTTATTCGTGTGATAGATGTTTAAATGTTAACCATTCAACAAATATGTATTAAACAGTTTAGTTACCGTGATTTAGTTACTTTAGATTAGTTTGTCCCTAAAACTCTTTTTCCTCAGAATTCACTAAATAAAAATAACACTATTTGCAGCATTGGTGATAACATTAATAACCAGTATGGAATATATTTTTCAATTTTTCAGTTCTTAACAGTCTGTAAAACGTTTTTTGAATGCATATGTAATGCATATATGTAATCTTTGTACAGTTGAAAAATAGACTATATACAAAATTTAAAGACTGTGATAAAGAGAATGACAATGGAAAAGCTAGTCTACCGAGTAAAAATTAATGTGTAGAGTCAGAGGTTTTTATGTTGCATACATCACCTTCGATATAGAACTGCCAATACGCCATACAAAAAATACTTAAGCATAAACCATTATTTACAAAAACTATTTGTGGTTAAGTAAGTGGATTTGCATACTTTTTAACTTGAATGACTTATCCTATTCTAAAAACGTCATCAATATGGATTTTTAACTTCATGTCGACCAAGTAGTCACTTTTCTAACCATTATTGCACAAGACATTCATTGCATAAGGTATTGTAAAACAATAACTCAATTAATTCATTCAAAAATCAACTTCGTTTATTAATCACTAACAGATTGTATTCGCAACTCGAAAACAACATTTAGGTAGAGAAAAACTTTTTATGTATATGAACTGTTGGCGTTTATTTATTATTTATTTATTTGAACATAAAAATATTGGTACAAAGGGGCACCAAATACATATACGCCGCACAGTCCACTTAATT